AGATCTTGCCCAAAAACTACAGAGATAGTCCAGGCAGTCATGAAAAATTAACACTGACGTGAAGCCATGAATATAGCAGTGTGGACCACCTAGTTAGCTGCTTTAAGAAGACGGCAGAAACTGGTTATAAAAAACAGCATAACAAAAGTGGCAGCAATGGTGTTTGGAACATCAGCAAGAAATATCAGTTGCCTGCAAGCAAGAACTGGTGAAAGACAAAAATGCAAAGTAACAGAAAATGAAGAAGCTAAAGTGCTCTGGACTTTAGAATTCAAATAGAAAAACACCTGCCACAGAATACCCCATACTTAACAATTGTTGATAAGAAAGACAAAGATGTCTGGAGAATGGATACTGCACTACTTGGAGGCAGCAGAATTTTAGAGAAGATAACAAAATATAAAGATCTAAAATAAAAATGAGAATGATTGTGGCAAAAGAAAGCAAAGTTAATACCAATCATAATAGGTGCCTTTGGTGCAATCCCAAAACATCTGGAGCACCACTTGAATACCAAAGTTATAGACAAAATAACCATCAGTCAATTGCAAAAGGCAGCTTTATACTTTGAACAGCTTATATTCTATGATAATACTTTTAACACTATCAAACAACATTTGCCTATCTCAAGTCCTTGGGAAGGATGTGATAGGTAAATAAAAATGCAGAAGCAGTCTAAATATCTGGCTGTGTGACCAACCATAATAATAATAGAGCCCCAGTGAAGTGGTTATGGGACTTGTATGGCAGAGATTCAACCATACTGGAGAGGCCTCATCAGAGGAGCCAGACAAAGAGCATCTGTCCCATAAAGAATATGGTAAGTTAGAGAAACCTATACCGGATTAGTCATCGCCCAGACCATCAAAGACTAAGTGCTAGGTGTTCGAGTTTCTGGACATCTGGTGACAAAAGGATTACAGAACAACCAGGGCCAGCAGCTGCAGGATTGCTGGAAGAAAAATTGCTTACCTTTCACAAATATACAGATTGAAAACAAAGAAATAATGATTTGCTATTACAAATCAAGTTCAATGAGAAGAGGATATCTGAAAAGAACGCCTGAAATCTAGAAAAAACACCATCCAAAATAAAAAAATAACAAATTAGAGGCTAATAGATCAAAACTGATTTATAATATAAAATAAAATATTCACAGAAGCAGAATTGGAAGAATTGCAAAGATCTATCTAAGGCAAGCTTTGCCAGTAGAAGCTCAGACTGTAGAGGCAAACTGGGGGCATTGGCAATAGAGGAAGCCAGGATGCTATTGAATCATTTTCATCAGCAAATCAGGCACTTTTCCTCTGTTTTCTCCTCAAAAAGAAAAAAGTCCTCTGACTGAAAAAAAGTGAGCTAAAACAAAGAATAACTGAGCATCTAGAATAGAGGTCCACAACCTTTTGGGCACTAGGGACCGGTGCTATGGAAAAAGATTTTTCTGCAGAACAGAGGGGTGCGTACTGCCTACATCCCGCAGATGGGGCTTCGCTTGTTTGTGCAGCCCAGTGCTGGTCCACGGACGGGGGAGGGGTTGGGGACCCCTGATCTAGAACACCACAAAAGCAACAGAATAACATTGGCTACATTGAAGCTTTCTACAAAAGAGAAAAAAACAGCTAGCACAAGTATTAAAAGATGCTAATACTGTAGTTGTGAACATAAGCATCAACTCACTGCAAAAAACAAATCAACAGATGTATAGCGTTGCTGCAGTTATAATTGAAGATCCTGAATGGAGAACAACAACAAAAAAAAAAGCCAAAAGTTTATCACCCAAATGGAAGATTAGGTTGGAAAATAAGATCAACATGCTAAGATCAGATGTAAGCAAACTAGAACAGATGAAAGAAAAGAGATGTTGAGAGATTCTATTTATCAAGGTGGACATGGAATTTTGCAAGTACATCAAACAATGTACTTGTAAAAAGAAAATAAGGTATTGAAAAAATATCTGAAGGATATTGAAGAAGATGCAATGAAGCTAGTATACTATGAAGGCTTACTGAATACTAAGCAGACCAAACTGGTCTACAAAAAAGACCAAATGAAGAATAGAAAAGAGACATCGCAAGGCAAGGTATTACCTGGCCAGTACATTAAAAAAAAAAAAAAAAACTAGCAGACAAAGCAGATAACAAGACCTGTCAATGGCTAAGAGCAGGAAAGTTGAAGAAAGTGATGGAGGATCTAATTCCAAATATTAAGAACAAAAGTATAAACAGCCAGAATTGAGAAGACAGCAACAAACAGCAAATGCTGCCTCTGCAAAAAGCTGAAGAAACAATGGGCCAATCTAGTAAACTACTGCAAAAAGATCACACAGACTGATTACAAACAACAACATGACCAAATAGCAACACTTGCACATTGGAATATCTGCAAGAAATACCTTCAAGGAAGAGATTGTGGAACCACAAAAGAGACAACATAATAGAAAATAAAGAAGCTAACGTGCTTGTGACTTTAGAATTCAAACAGACCAGCAACTGCCATAACAATACCCCAGACTTAAAAATTGTTGACAGGAAAGACAAAATTGTCTGGAATAGTACACATTGCAATACCTGGAGACATCAAAATAGAAAAGAAAGAACTTTATATAACAAAATATAAAGACTACAAATAGATTTATTGTGGCAAAATAAAGCAAAAATAGTACTCTTAGTAATAGGCTGTTTGGGTGCAATCTCAAAATAACTGGACCACTACCTGAATACCATTAGTACTAACAAAATCACAATCAGCCAAGCTTTATTTAGAACAGTTTACATCCTGCAAGGATACCTTCATATTACAGTACTAAACAACAACATTTGCCTATTCCAGGTTTTTGAGAAGGACTTGACAAGTGGACAAAAATGCCAAATCCAGACTAAATATTTGGCTGACTGTGTGAGCAACTATAGTAAGATCTATAATTAACTAACTTTTCCCCTCAATTATTCTAGTTACGCAGGCAATAAATAAACAAACCATAATTGAATTTTATTTTAGATTTATCACTCAGTAGATCCTGAGTTCAAAATTTATATTCTATGTATATTTTCCTGGGAATAAGCCTAACAGAACTCAACAGAAAAGTCTTTGGAATAAACATAGGTAGTTCTGGACTAAGAAAATGTTTCTTGGGCAACTTTTATATAATAAGGAAAACAAACATGGGCAAATATATACAAAAAAGTTGTTCAATGTGAGGTAGCAGCTATCAATTAATAAGAGGTGGGATTGTTCCTGGATACCTTTTCCAAAATTCACTTGCGTCCCAATATAGCATCTTCCATACATATATTTTTTGGGTGGTGTTCTCTGAACTTGGTTGTTTGTTTGCAGACTTTTTCACTACCAGATTAAGTAACATTATCAGCACTGATGAAATTACCAAATTGAATATCTCTACAAGCAAACAACCAAGGTTAGAGACAGCAAGGATTCCGCAGTTCAACCTGAACTAGATATATTCTCTTCTCTCAGAACAGTTTTTTTAAAAAGAGGAATTACAATGTACCTGAAATGGCACTTTAGCCTCTTCTTTGAACTCTGAAAATCTGAAAACCTGTCTTGAGGCATTGTCTAAATCTTCCCCAGCCTGAAGTCCTTAACAACTGTTTGGTTAGACTGCAGTTCTATCAGTTTCCACAACATCCAGTGTGTTGAGTGGAGGACAGCTTCCCAAGAGCTAACTACATTTCCTACCAAGTGTAACACCTGCTGCTTTAAATTGGTTGGCTTTGTTAAGAGTGCCTATCCATTTCTTCATTATAAGGTTTAGATTGCAGATTTGTTTCTTTCAGATGGAGGTGATGGTATTGGTGGTGATCCAGGTTGGTGACCCAGGTTGGTGACCCAGCACAATATTATTGTGTACCAGTTGTGGGGATAACAGAACAATATTCACAACCTACCATTGCTCATATGCATTGTTGCTTGAATCTGTAAGAATGCTGAGAGATTTTTCCTGTGTCATCATCAAATCCTGCCCATAAGCATACACTGCCCAGGAATAAACTTCCTACATTCAGCACACACAGTCCTGAGTGCATCTCTTACTGCTAAAATAGCCAACAGGACCCTAATTGTCCGCAAGTTCTTCAATCCAGCTGATCCTTTGTTGTCTTGAAACAAAGCTTGAGCGGCACTTCCATCATAAGCAGTTAAGGTATATACAGACTTTTCCAGGGCTTAGCCTCAGGTACAACCCAGTCCAATTTATGACCGTGTAACAATAAAGAATAAATAATAAATAAACAGCTCTCTTCGGGCTTCTGGATTGCCTTGCCCTTGCCTTATCTAATTAAAGCCGTCCTTCATTTATGTAATTAAGGGACACGAGGCAGAAGAACAGCTTTTCAGGTGAACTCGATCCCTTCGCCCCTTCCATCCCAGAATTAAAACTCAAGACAGGGGCACCAGTTTCCTTTTCGACTCCTCCACCCCTTCGCGCAGCAACGCGGAGAAGCGGCGTGTGTTGTACGCGAGAGGGATGGAGAAGAGACCGGCCCCCCGCCGAATGGCACTTCCAAGAATCGCCGGCGGCAAGGGAAACCGGGGCTACTTTTCCCCTTTTCCCGCGGACTTTCTTTGCTCCAAGGCTTGGACAGCAACCCGGCTGCCAAGTGCAAAGGGTGGAGGATGCGGGGGAGGAGGAGAGAACCGGCTAGGTCGGCGGCGAATCCCGAGACAACAGGTTCTTGGAGATCTGCCCCCAGCGGCTTGCGGTGCCACTCTAGCGGAACGCAAGTGCGCCCGCCTCGGCTCCTTGCAGCTTCCTCTGGCTTAGGGATTTTTCACTTCGCTCCGAAGCGAAGGAAACAGGTGAGCTTCCCTCCTCCCTCCCCTCCTTCCGCCCCATTTAAGCCCCAACATCTACCCTCGTGGCAGGGGGGGGGGGGCAGAGAGAAAATCCCTTTGAACGGGGAAGCGCCCAGGGAAAGGCCGGGGAGGGGGGGGCAGGGCGACTATAACACGAGGAGGTTAATCTCGCCCGGGCAGGCACTTACCGGCTTTGCAAGGATCTTTGTAATCTATGGCTTCAGCCTGATCCTCCTCGCTGAAATCGTAAACGTAGTCGAAATCCAAGCCGGAGCAGCGGGAGCGGGAGAGTTTGTTCCAGAGGGCCACCCCAGCCAGCCACAGAGCCATCCTCCAGCAAAACATGTTCACGCTCCTCAGCAAAGGGATGGGAGAGAGAGGGAGGCGAGGCGCCGGGTGCCGGGAGCGGCGGAGTCTACGTGTGGCGGAGGGGGCTGGGGGAGAAGCGGCGCAGTGGGTAGAACGGGCAGCGAATGTCTAGTCCGCGCCGACAGGCTTCTCTTCTCCAGGGGGATCGGACCCGGAGCTGGGGCTTCCCCCCATGCAAATCAATCGGGAGGCTGCCGCGCTGTGCGCGTGGGCGGGAGTGTGTGTGTGTGTGTGTGTGTGTGTGTGTGTGTGTGTGTGTGTGTGTGTGTGTGTGTGTGCGCGCGCGCGCGCGTGGAGGGCGAAGGGGTCCGACCCCGCTCTTCTCTGGGCGGGCGAGGAGGGAAGTTGCAAAGTGGAGAGGCGCTGACTCTCGCCCGCCTGCCCTCTCACGGCGCCCGGCTCCCCTCCTCGCCTCTGTCAAAGGCCAAGCAAACTTTTCTGCGTTCCCGCCACAGCCGCCGCCGGGGTGGCAGAAGAAGCAGCGGCGGCGACACCAGGCCGCCGGGGGTCTTTTCTGCCCAGGGATCGGCGACCGAGCCAAGTCGTTGGACGAATCCCTTCTCCCGGTCGCCTGTCGCCGAGCTTTCCGCTGTTCCCGATGTTGGGCGCTAGAGTCGGGTTGCACATCAGCAAATTGCCGAGAGGAGAAAAAGAGAAGCCCGGAGGGGGGGGGGAGGACGATCAGGAGCACGGCAACCCTGCAGTGGTGGCAACGCGTCAGCAAAGGAGAGAGGAAGGAAAAGTGCAAAGGCTTCCCCGTGGTTTTTTTTTATTATTTTTTTCTGAGTTTCCCTACCCCCACCCCACCACCGGTCCGCCTCCTCCCCCTCCCTCCTTTTAATTAGCAAAACCGTCCAGGAGAATCTTCGCCGTCAGCATCCTGCTTACTTCTTCCGAGCAGCAGGGCCAGGATCCAGGCTGCTTCTGATCTGCTGCCCTGATAGCCTTAGGAAAACACGCGCGCCTGTCCGGTGTGCCCCGTTCGCCATGCAGCTGCTGTCTGTTGAGATAAGCGGAGCGGAGCAGAACTTTACGGAGCAGACAGTGACCGGAGCGGGGGAGAAATCGGAGCCCGGGCGTGATTGCTTCGCAGTGGCCCCCAAGGTCGCCCGAATCCGGAAACAAAGATGGAAAGCAGGTTCGGCGGGGGTGACAGTAACGGTGATGAGAAATAATTGCGGCGCTTTTCCCAGTCTCTGCCTCTTTCGCTTTCCGCTGCCAAGCGTGCAGAGCGCGAGAAAGGGAAGGAAAGTTGCTTTTGTGTTGTTTGCTTTTTTAAGGCGTCCGCCAGTTTGTTGAACGGGATATGAAGACGACCACTGACGGGCAAAGTTCAGCCAAGGAAAACAGCTTCAGATGTAGGCTTTAAAAAAAAAAACACGCGAAAGAGAGCTAAGGAATAATATTAAACAAAGCAGGTTGTGCATCAGCAGCAAACAGTAGCAGTAGCAATAATTTTTGCAAGCAGCATCGGCGGATGCTGGAAAGGTTAGCGGGGTTTTCGGAAGCAAAGTTTCCGTCGCAGCTTCGTCTCCTTCCATTCCTTGCTTGGAAGTGCGTGCTGTGCATTCGGTTGCAGCGATCAACCTCAAAACGTAGGCAGTGTGAGGGCTGGATTTGTTTTCTAAGCCAGCCAAACGAATCAGCGAGTTTAAAATCTGATTTAGGAGATCAGCCTGAAAAATAAAACGTGGAGCTCGACTAAGGCAATAAAAGCACAGGGATATATCTCAAAGGGCAGGAGAAGAGGACTGAGATCCTTCATTTTTATGCATAAGATATATATAAGGCATTCCAATATTAGAATGAAAGTAGTGTCAAACTGTTACATGCTCACAGATTTATTTTTAAAAAACCAATAGGCTTTCCTGCTCTCTACAAAGAGTCCACATCCAGAAAGGGAGGGGGAAGAGATTTTAGTTAATTAGATTTTTCCAAGTGGTCATTTTGGGATGACACACCTAACTGGGCCATGCAAAGGAAGATGCTTTCCTATCTTCCTATAAGTTGGGATGCATACAGGTTGCTTATGGTTGCAAAAACTATCTTGATAACTAAAACAACTTAAGTAGACAGCTTTCCTGCTGCTGCCTGCAAGATACTCAAGACAAAAAGTATGCAGCCCTTCAGATCAAGATCAAGACTTGGGATGTGATCCAGTAACACTAACCCCTGAATCTCCTTCCAGAGGTTAATGCATACATGTGAGTTCATCATCGCATCTACAAATGAAAGTGCCTCACCATCACATCTGCAGTCATAAATGCTGCTGACTATAGGGCCCTGGAAGGATAGTGAATATTTGAGGGAAAGGATACCCAAGCACAACAGGAGGCTGGTAGATATGATGATTCAAACAAACATCTGAGAAACAAGACATCTTGTCCACAGGATTTATTAAATACTTATATATGTTTTAATAACCTTAGGAGTTAAAATGGCCTGATGTGTGTTTGCTGTCCTGATGAAAAGCTGTTTTTCCATACAAAATTGTTCTTGTCTTGTGGAAAGACGGTTTACCCCCACAGCATAATGTTGTGCTGATGCAGAATATTATTTGGAACCAAGCAAAAAAGTGGAATATCAAATAAAAATGGTTTTCTCTAAAATCTTCCATGTTTGCTTTATTTTATGGAGGCTATACGATAAACTAGAGCTTTATGGGTCGTGGTATTTTTCTGCTGGAAGCAAAGGACAAAAATAGTTCCTTCTCATATTCCACATATAGAAGCAATCCAAGGTGACAGTTCAGAATTCTGTTTTCCTTTACACTTGTGAAGAAAGTTTGAGGCATCTTTGCCTTTTAATATCTTCCTATTACTTCAGTAGACGGACAGAGCCTGCCCTGTAAATAACAATGAGATTTATTTTTTGAAATTTGCAGAATTATAGCTCTTATTACATTTGCTGCCATATGCTTAGACACTGAAAAAATATTTTATTAAGAAAACAAAGTTGGAAAATTGGAATTACAAACTTTTACTCAAGATCAACAGATCTTAGCCTATTCCCAAATGGTGCCGTAGCTTCAAAAAAACCAAAAAATATTACCAAGACCAACGTCATACAAATGTTATCCAAGGTTTTTAACACAGTGGAGTTATCCTCTGTATTAAGAATGGAATGTAACACGAGTGGAAGGCTTTTTAATCCAAAGTGAATTGCAATAAATTCATTTTCCCAACATCTGGCAAGATACTTGCTTGATTAAAAAAAAAGACCTCTAAAATTTCAATCAATAAAATCCAAGTCTTTAATAAAACATTCAAATCTCACAAATAAAAACTTAATCAATTGTCCTGATTACAAATAAAAAATATATACCTTGTTCTGGGCTTGGAAACTGGCCTGTGCTAGAATCAGACATGAGGTATTCAGCTCAAAATTTCTGTTGTTAAGCAAGACATTTGTTAAGAGAGTTTTGCTCCACTTTACGACCTTTGTTGCCTCAGTCATTAAGTGAATCACTGCAGTTGATAAGTTAGTAACCCAGTTAAGTGAATCTGGCTTCCCCATTGACTTTGCTGGTCACAAAAGGTGATCACATGACCTTGGGACACAACAACGGTCATAACTATGAACCAGTAGCCGAGCATCTGAATTTTGATCACATGATCATGGGGATGCTCAAAATGTCATAACTGAAACATGGTCATAAGTCACTTTTTTCAGTGCCATTATAACTTTGAACAGTCACTAAAAGAACTGTTGGTGTCATAGCTGCGAAAGAAAAATATACAGTCTCCAGTGTCCCAGTCTGCCTACGAAAGTTTGGAATTAAATATATCTTCCCTGCAGGTGATTAATTATTCTAGAAAGTTACACATACACTTCATTTCTTAACCTCCAGACAGCAATATGCCCCTGACTGTAGCTTCACTAACAGATACACTTGAAGACAATTGGTCTTAAAGACCTCTAAGAAAGCTAAGAGAAGACTTGGATATGTCTATTCCAAGATACCAAGGCAATTTGGTCTGCCCAATGGAAAGATAAGACAAAGAAGTTGCAGTAAGAGTATTAATAACTTAAGAAAAATATATATATTCAATTTGCAATTTCTAGTAAATTGTGAAAACCAGAACAAGTCCATGAATCATGTTTTTGCAAGCTGTTTAATTTACTAGCCATTTTTGAACCAAAGGATTTTTTTTCTCATAAATCACATATAAAACATCTAATACCAGCCCACTCATAACTCTGAAATTACATCTGTCAATATAAATAATCAAAGTCTGTCCATACCATCATTCCCAAGTATGTAACAAAAGCACAGAGAGAGGCTATTTAATTGAAGAGACACTCACTGCATTTTCCTGTTTATCCTGTTGCATATATTCTAAAAAAAAATATTTAAAAAGTCAAAGAAATAATAGGCAGTAGCAAGTCATTTTATTTCAAGATAGCTTTTTTTTGCCAGCCACTAAAAAGAAAGGGTCTCTCTATTCTGATTATATAATGTTGTCAGATACAGCAGTAATCTCTCTTCACTGCCAGGAATGTTAGAAGCAGAAAATATTTAGATGAAAAATTCTTCATGACATGCTTTGCAGTCTGATCCTTTAAATTTAAACACATCTGTATTATCCTATTAGTCAATTGGCTATTTCTTTTACCTTACATTATTATGTGGCAGCATTTACCAATGGTGAACCAGCTATAAGTGGAGTGCTTTTGTTTAAAAAAAAATGTTTCATTCAAGGAGAGAAAGTGTTAATTGAGTCTAATACATCCTTTCAAGCCTATTCATACAGTGATGGTTAATTTTCTTTTGATTTTATTCAGAAACATATTTCAATGACTTAAATAACGCATATCTCAGCTATCTTAATTGATTTTCTTTAGTTTTACTTCTCCTCAGGATGAAAATGATAATAACTTTTCTAGTTAATCTTTTTGGTATTGTTGTTGTTCACAACCTTAACAATAACATTACCCAAGCAAATTCGCTCCAGATGTGAACTGCAACTCCCATCACTTCATGTCAGCTTGAACTCAATGGAACTTCCTTCCATGTAAATAAACCTTTATAAACTCCAGATTAAGTAGCTATAATATTAATCCTAAACTTAATCTAAATAATAACCTTTCAGTTAAATACTGAATGTACAACAAAATATTTTGATGTGGAAAAGAGAGAGAGAAATTCTACCACCCCAAACATTTTTAACAGTGTCAGAATATGTGCTTTTTCATGCTATATTAATCTTTTCTAGTTTATTACTGGATTGGTATGAGGATGACCCAAATGCCAGTCCACTGTAAGTCCTGGAAACTGAGATGGTGCGTTTGGGCCATTTATTCATAACCCAACTTATCTTGTTGAGTTGTAATGAAAGAAGCAAGAACATTTATATTGTTCTGCTATCATTAAATTCATTAAAGTTTCAGATGAAAGTAATAAAGAGACAAACCCAAAGCAATTCTTCTATCTGCAGAAGACATGTCAGTATGACGCTTCAAGGGTTATATTTGTGCTTTTTGCTCCTGTCTGTTATTCCATTTCCAGCTATGCATAAGTAACTATGCCTGAAAGAGAACATGTGCCCTTAGGCAAGTTAGTGCTTCCCATTCAAGATGTGGGAAGTGGGCATACAATAATTCTTCATCTGTTGACTGAAATAATATATAAAGGTAAAGCATGATTCTTAGGTATTTTCTCTGATTTTTTTACATAGTTTTTTTAAACTAATGTAAATCCAAGGAAACTTTATCACTAAGATGATTCGATTAAAAGGATGCAAAGATTTTAGTCTATCATAAACAATTATAGTTGCTTTTTGGTGTGTCTCAGTATCCCTTGCTCTCATCAGGGAATAAATTAAATATTCACAGCTGTAAATAGTTACTTAAAATAAGATCCAGGGAAATTTAATTGGGGAAATGTTATTCAAAGTTGAAGAGGTTGGATTATGCTGTTAATTATACATTAATATTTCTTATTTCCAAATTTCTGAAATCTTCTGCTTAATAAAGAAACACTGGGCATAAATTCCTGATTTTTTGTTGATATAAATTGTGATTTCACTTCAAATTGAAGCAGGGCTAAAAAAAAAAACCTCCATTCTCAAAATCAGACAACACTCAATCATATTGACCTATAACTGGTTCTGAACCAGCGTAAAGCTTCATGTGAGGTTGCTGCAAGATTCCAATGACAGATTGAACACTGCTTAAAAATGCAAAAAGGGCTTGTAAAGAAAAGTATGATCTAATCCACCAAGACTCTGTACTTGCTTTCTCACCTTGACAGGAAATGTTTTCAGTTCTAGTAACTACACTTGAAAATCTGCACCAAAGTGATTAATTCTAGTAAAAATAAAAGCAAGCAAATGGAAGTAGATAAATAGATACCATTTTGGTGGGAAGGTAACAGTATTCTGTGAGTATGCAAGTGTCTTCAGACAACGCTGGCTCCCTTCGCTAAGAAACAGAGATGAATACTGCCCCCCTAGACTCAGACATAACTGGACAGGGGAAACTTTTAGCGTATTGTGTTGTATTGTATTGTATTGTATTGTATCATTACGTTACATTATATTGCATTACATTATATTACATTATATTGCATTATATTATTGTATTGTATTGTGTTGTTATATTATGTTATGTTATATTACATTATAATATTAATAATGCCTTTTCTTTCTGCCCATTGTCATTCCACAATGAATGCTTTCCTCCCCCCCAACAAAATGCATTATTTCTGAAGGACAGTATTATTTGATTATTTTTCTAGTACTGCATAGTTGATCGAAATTAATGAAGGGAACATCAGAATAAGTCTATGTGTAAAGAAGTTTCAAGTAGACAATTCTTATATTTGCCTATCCACACTTCCAGAATTTTTTTGGAAGAAGAGCTTTGGACCTTATCAAAGTGCAGCTCTTCTATTTTTCATTCAAGCAGGCCTCTTTTTTTTTAGATTAGTGTGATAACCTTAAACTAGTAGGCTATTTTAACGAGAAGCACAGAGATTTTGGGCTCATGCAAAATCCAAAGTATTTCTTCGGAGTATTTCCAGGTATACACAGCATTATACTGCTACGAGCACACATAAAATTGAACAGCACAGAAAACAGTTAACCTGTTTTCTCTCAATTAACACTTATAATGTATTTGTTTTTAGCTAACACTATGGACAAATCAGAAGATCATTTGAGTGACAAGAAGAAACAACAAAAACTGTATGCTTCTTCCTTCCTTCCTTCCTTCCTTCCTTCCTTCCTTCCTTCCTTCCTTCCTTCCTTCCTTCCTTCCTTCTTTTCTCCCTCCCTCCCTCCCTCCCTCCCTTTCTTCTTTTTCTAGTAATATCTTGTTTTTACAGTTTCTTGTATGATTGGATAACTGGAGACAAGGGAGAAAGCACACTTTAGTGTTTATGAAACAAACATAATTTCTTCTCAGTTTTGAAATTCCAGGAAGAAAACTGAAAAAAAAAACCCCATGGAATGGCCTCACTAAGTGATTTAATCTTTATATGAAAGCAAAATGGCTTGTAAATTGCACCAGGAGTAGAAAGGATTGCACTTGTCTAGTCAGCAGGACACGAGCACACAACTTCTATCACCTCAGATATCACAGCAGACTGCTCAAAATTGGCAGAGCAAGATTCATGGGGACCTTAGATAAATATTTAGTTGAAAAAGAGCCCCAAATTCACTCTGATTAGCTTTGCATTATGTAAAAGGATTATTGGTAATCAATACGTAGTCCTGAATCATATTTTCTGCACCCATGCAATAGAAGTAGGACTATATTTTGAAAGCTTCCATATGTTGCTTTATTCACTTGCAGGTAGAAAAACAATGTAGAATAGTTGAACTGACACCTTTTTTTCTGGTATACAATGTATATTCATGTATGTATGTATGTATGTATGTATGTATGTATGTATGTATTTGTGGGAAATTGGGGGAGAGGAGGAGGAGATGGTTTTAAAAAATTCTACTCCTATAATCTGAAAAGTCATAGTTTATGACATATTTATTCTGCTGCATACAAAATCCAACCAAATTAAATGAGAAAACATAAGATGGTGGACCAACAAAGTGATAAGTTTAGCTAACATTTTTTTTTGTTTTGCAAGAGAAGATGAGATATTTCTTTGAATTATATTTTGATAATTATATCCTGTGTATATTATAGGCTTCTTGGTTGAGCATAACACCAAAATGAAGGTTAGCCTGTTATTTTTCCTCTCCTTATATTTACAAAATAAATTTTTGGTTTCAGTTATACCATTTTTAATAGAATGCATTATATAAAAAAGTGATGCTTAAGAAATCTTCCTCCTTCTAATGAGAGGTTGAATTAGGATAAGGAAGACTCTGAATTTCGTGCAGCATTTGGGGCAAATCACAATGTCTCAGCTAACCTCTTTTAAAGGATGATTATGGCTATAATATTAGAGGCGGGTTACTATGCAAGTGATTTTGAGCGCCTGAAGAAAAAAGTGCCAGAGAAATGCAACAATATATTCCTTGTAAGC